CGATAAGACAGAGGTGAACCGTATTAAGATCAAAACAATACTGATTGTGTGAAAAGGAATAAAAGAGCTAACCTTCAAATTTAAAAAGGAAGTTATTCAGAAAATGTCAAGAAAACAAAGCAGTGAAGAATAAACTCACACAGCTGGGTGAACACAGAAACACAAAAGAAAAAGCAGAAAACGAGCAACTTGACAGACACATGCCTGTCAGCTACGATTATTATACACCCCTCCTCTAAAACCTTAAAGAAATTAAAGAATATACATGACTAATTTCACATAACTAGAATGAGTTTGATGGTTCAGACTATCAGCACAAAATAACAACGTTATTAATAATTGCTTTAATTTAGAAACTAAAATAAGAAATAATTTGGTTTAATATTAGTGTTTTCACTTTGTTCTCCTTCCTTTGGGCTTGGAAAAGGATAAAGGCTTAGTCTGACACTCCCTACTGAGTGTCTGTGTCTGCAGTTGGTATGGACACCTGTATGCACAAGAAGAGGTTTACTGTTCTGCTTTTTTGTCTCTCTGTTTCCTAACAATTGCTGCCACTGAGGAAATGTTGTTGTTGTTTTTCACTATTACCTTGCTTATTGCAATTCTCTTTCTCACTGCCTCGGAAGCCTAGACTACAAATTATGTGACCATGTTGTTAAAATGTTTTGTTGCAGGATTAGTTAAACTCTGTCTCCCACAGTTATTAAACAGTGAAGCCATGAAGCTAAACTCAGTATTAATATTTTTCGAATACAGAAAACATGAAAAAATATGTTTTAGTGAAATATGTCTAAGTAGAAAAAAAAAATCAGTGATATGGTTTCACTTTTTGGTTCCAGTGCTGCTATCTAGGATTGTTTTACCCCTATGGTTGAGACTCATCTTTAGCAGTATTATTATTCTGGTTATAGAGTGCAACATTTTTATTTCAAGTGTATTACAATCCTTTTTTTCTGAAAAAACAAACCTGGATCCAGAATACTGTTATTCTCTAGTCTGTACACCTTCAACAGTATGTTATGTTGCAGAGAAGGCTGATGTGTAGCAACCCTCTAAAGATAATAACAGCACTAATATTGTCATGACCCTTCAGGTGCTGTGTGTGAGGACCATGAGGTGCGTTGCCAATGATGTAGATGATGGTGACCCCAGTGTCCCGCGCACTGAGAAAACCACAGCACAAGACTGCATCCTGCTGTCCCCGCGTAACCAGGTCTATCACGATCCCCAGAGCAGCCAGGTAACCAGTGTGTGTGCTCATGTGGAGCTGAGGTGATGGTATGTATTGCATAATGGGAATTAAAGGGATTTGGAAAAATAAAAAAGAACAGAGATTTAAATCAATTTAGTGCAGCACTAGATCAAAAGAAAGGCATGTGTTATTTTTGTTTCACTAATATTAGAAGAACAGTGGAGACTCTCTGCATCATAAGTGCGTCACTTCTGTATTAATCAACAGGCAGGTGTGTGCATTTGTGTGTGAGAGCAGCTAATTGAAGGTTTGTGAATTAATGCTGCTGCAGAGGCAATGATTAGAAAAAATTCTGAAAGTGCCAGCGAAAGTGATTAGGTTTAGAGGAGGGAAAGAGGGAAGAAAAAGCTCTGACTCAGTCTGTGCAGTGTGGCGCTTCATGGTGTCCATTTAGATAACTAGTACAAGAGCAGTGAGGTGCATTAGACGACAGAGTGGCTCTGATGAGGCTCTTCCAGTGCTTAATCAGCTTTTCAAGGTTATATAATGCCAACTTTCTCCAAAAGTCACAGAAATTATGGATGCGCTTTGTGTAGGTCCCTTTGATCCAAAAGAGGAGAAAACATAAGACCAATAGGTATGAAAGGAAAATACACGGAGGCAAAATAAAGGGAGACGTGGAAAAGAAAACACAAGAAACAAAAGTAAACGGTTAAAACTGGAAAACAAAAGAAAAAAAAGTTATTTAAATCACACCAGGGACCAAATACATAACAGAGTGCCTCTGACTGAAAGGCGGTGTTTATAGATTTTTATGCCTCATACAGATGATGATGATGATGATGATGATGATGAAAACAGCAGATCTAGTGTGTCATATAAATCAATGATGACAATTGTGAAAAAATAAATCGCTTACAGTTTTAGTCTTTAAGCGTTTCTCGTGGCTCATAATGGGCCTCTGCACACATAAGCACAATCGGTCTGTGTTGCTTGACATATCTATATATTTTTAAGATTTTAACCATTTTACGAATAAAAAATCTATTTAGTTTCAATAAGTAAGAACCCACTGATTTTTTTTTTATTGCAGTCTTGGAGAGATTTCATTTGGTTGAGTAAATAAAACCCCACTTACAAAAACAAAAGATCAAATATCCACTGCGTGCATTCATGTCATGCCTCTTTTTTTTTGTAATTTCTCTATTGTCTTCTCCTTTTTCATGTTCCCATCCTGCTCTTTCTTTTGTTCTTCTTCTCTCTGAAGATCTCACCTCACCCGCCGGGCTCACCAACGACTCACACTGCAGCAGACCTGCACCGCTCCACCCCTGCATGTAAGTTTCAGTCCACTTACCCAGGAACCGGACCGGCCACTACCACAGCAGCCTCGATGCTAAACTCTGTTGTAACTGCAGCTGAACCTCCCACAGTCACTGCCCTGACCACTAGCTCCTCCTCTGGTTAATTAGGGCCACATGAACAGTAGCAGAGAAACTCACAGATGAACTGAGAAAGAAAAACATATTTTAAGGATTAAGTGATCGAAGTGGCAAAATCGATGCTTTTCTGCCTTTTTGTCAACTATTTTATTACTACCACACACACTCATTCTACATCCATTATAGCACATTGGTGGAAAAAAAAAATCACAACATTTTTGTTTATCAAGACCAATTTTGTTCCTTTCAGCAGCCTGACATAAGTGCCTTTCCAGCTATAATCAACACAGCTCCTAAAATAAACATTTACACCTTACTCCTTTCATTTTATGTTGGTCATGTAACACTGAAGAATGTATTTACCTATCAGAACCAAAAAGCCTCTTAGGACTTATTTCATTTGGTGGATGTAATTTCCTGCAGGTAGCAAATATGAGGGGTTTATTTGAGCATTATAGGGTCCTCTCTACAACAGCTTTAATCAAACAGCGCAGTAATTCATCATATTTTCTCGTTTCCAACTGCTGCTTATTTCTGCTTTCTTACTTAAGTGGATAAATTGTGATGATTGAATCCAACGTCTGTATTTGCTTTGCTTAAAAGTCTTTTGTGATCTCATTTGCGTACCGTTGAGAAGTTTAAAAGAAAAAGGAAACAAAATGAAAAACGGCTTGCTTGTCTTTTCTCAAAGTAAATGTGATGCTTTGGCAGCTCTATGCTTCTCTGTAAATATGCAGCCCCCCTTAAAGCTAAAACGCCTGACCTTTTTGGATATATGCTTCTTGCATTTTGTTTTTGTGTTCATGTGATGTGTGTGCACAGTAAAGATAAACTTTATTTGATGAACTGGCGATACAAGGTGTTTTGCAAAAATTACCAAAAAGAAAAATAGAAAATACACAAGAGAAAAAGAGAACAATAGCAATATTATTCACAAGAAAGGGACACATTTAAACATTAAAAAAGACCTTTCAACACATTATGCAAATATGAGTCTGTACAAGTGGGTTTTTAAAAGCTTCTGGATTTGACACAGCTGATCTGAAGGAGAAGGTATAAAAGTCTGTTCCACATTTGTTTTAAGCCCTTTTAATAGGAACTGATTCTCTGATGTCAGGAATCTGGGCACAGAATAATAGGCTAGCATGTAAACAGAGCCATTCCAGGTAACAGTCTGGTTATTTGTGCCTGTTTTACTTTGCTCTACCCAGTGTATGTATTTATTTTTTGTCTTTGCAAGAGTTGCGATGTAGCAGCATATGTTGTTATCAGCGCTGTTGGGTGTAAAATAAATGCTAGAGTAAATCAGATGAGACAGGAGACACTGTGTCTTTGGCCTTTGCAATTGCATCTAGATCATCTTAGGCAAGGCAAGGCAAGGCAAGTTTATTTGTATAGCACAATTCAACAACAAGGTGATTCAAAGTGCTTTACAGAGACATTAGAAACAAAAACAAATAAAAAGCATGATTTAAAATTGATTAAAACAAGCAAATAAACTAACTTAGGTACAATTTAAACGCTTAAAGCAAACTTTAAAGAACAAGTTTGAGCACAGCTTCTCCTTTAGTGGTAGTATGTCTAAAGTATTGATGTATTATTATGTATGTATTGTTTATACATTTTCTGGCTGCCATGTCTGTAAAGCCAACAACCAGTGACTGAAAATCAGTATATTGTTGAGAATATTCATTAATGCAATTGAATACTGTAATACAATAAAATAACTCACAGTAATGGGATTAGTTTACTGCAGTAGACAATCTCGCTGATGGATTGTGGGTGTTTTCCAGTCACTTTTTCATTATGTACAACGAAAGAAAATTCATATTAGTGGCACAAAGAGTGTGAGTGTAATGGAGTGGAGGCAGTGAATAATGTAAACTAATAGAAGCAATGGAATAACAAAAAAACCAAGGCTGATGAAAAAGGCTTTTACATGCAAATACAGCAAATGTGATGTATATTTCAACGGATATTTATAGCTGTTCAGATGTGTCATTGCTATGTGTTTTTGGGCTTCTTTTGAATAAAAGATTGTGATTAAAAACAGAGAAAGAGAGTCTGTTGTTGATACTCAGACACACTAATTACACTCAGTTATATTTATAAAGCACTTGTTCACAACAGGAGGCAGCACAGTAGTGCGGTGATTAGTACTGCTGCCTCACAGCAAGACGGTCCTGGGTTAGAATCCACCATCTGTGCGGAGTTTGCATGTTCTCCCTGTGTTTGCGTGGGTTCCCCCTGGGTACCCTGTCATGCAGGTATTGGGTTTAAATTAACTGGTAATTTTAAATTGCCCATATGTGTGAATGTGAGTGTGTATGGTTGTTTGTCTCTCCGTATTAGCCCTGCTACAGACTGGGAACCTGTCCAGGGTATACCCTACCTCCTGTCCTATGTTACCTGGTATAGGCTCAAGTCCCCCTGTGACCCTGAATTGGATAAGTTGCATAAGTGGAGCAGAATGTATGGATGGATAGTTCACAACACCAGTTGTTTCAAGCCACTTATAAGGACAAGACTCCACAATATTACCTTTGTTACGACCCGGCTCAAAGCCGCAACATAAAAACGGAGATGAATAACAGAGTGTTAGTGTGAAGAAGCTTTATCTTAAAATGGCATAGCAGGTTGGCTCAAATGGCTGGTGCCACCAAGGCAAAGACTAGTGAGCTCTCTGGACGCTTGCCTCAGGTATGCTTTTATCCACACCTGACTAGGTGTGGCCAGCACCAGCTGAACACACTGAGCAGATTAGAGGCTGCAGAGGGACGTAACAACCTTAATGAGCAGATGATCCTTTGCAAGCAAAGACATGGTGACAGTTGGGAAGAAAAACTTCCTTAAAGCAGGACGAGAGGTCTAAAAGAACCAGGCTTGTAGGTCTGCCATTTGCCATGAGGGTAACAAGAAGACAGAAAAGAGGAGCATAGAGAGACTCTGACAACCGTAAACCTATTAGTTTATGGACATTATGGAGAAAAATCTGTACTTTTAAGCAGGCTATGAGAACCCCATCAACTAGAGTCTTTACAATCTTGTAGATTAACATTTATCTAAAGCTTGGTCAGATTTTTACACCCTTCATGCCACACCTGAAAAACTGCCACAAGATCTGTATTTCCATACTCTGCAAAGGTAAATGGCCTGTATTTGTATAACGCTTTACACATCCAGTCATCCACCCATTCACACACAGGTGATGGCAAGCTACATTGTAGCCACAGCCACCCTGGGGCACACTGACAGAGGCGAGGCTGCCGGACACTGGCGCCACCACCTCTGACCACCACCAGTAGGCAACGTGTGAAGTGTCCTGCCCAAGGACACAACGACCGAGACTGTCCAAGCCAGGGCTCGAACTGGCAACCTTCCGATTACAAGACAACCTGCCAACTCTTGAGCCATGATCGCCCCATCAGCCACGATCGCCCCATCATGATACATTGCATAAGTATGATGATAATATAACCTCATGTTTAAATAATGAAGAAATGGTACAAATGATATCCTTGCACTGAACAAGCTCAGCTCGTATGTGCAGGTATGTGTCTTCTTTCCCTGAAAGGTCTGTGGAGTCAGCCCACCTAATGACCACAGACTGAATGTCAGGTTAAATCTCCTTCACTACTTATAGTAATGCCTCTGACTCAGTACCACAGCCAAATGTACAATCTCTTTATGGCATAATTTTTTAATTAAACATTATTCTAGTCCCCAAGGACATCACAGGCATGACTGTTTGTGTGCATTTTGATGGCAGGCGATAGCCGTTTTTTTTTTTTTGTTGTTGTTTTGTTGTTTTTCTAATCTGCTTCATTATCTCAAATACACAGCTCTGAGACGAAAGAAGAATAGATGAACAGTGGGCATCGCTTGTTATTCACAGACCTATTTACTAAGCAATATCAAGTAACAAGCACAATAATATTTATAGGGTCTGTATGTATTATTGTAGGGTCTACCTTACAATATAAAGCGCCTTGAGGTAAATAAACTCGAATTGAACTGAAATCTAGAAAATATCTTGTTTTTTGCAGCTTCCCATTTTAGTGGTTTTTTGATTTATTAGTTCAGCTGTGAGCAGAGTTTCGTTCAAAATTCGCTAATTTACATCAGATTTAATGGGCAGACCTGCTGCTGGCTATAAAATAATTAATACGATTTTGGTGAGAGCTGATTCCAGTGGGAGACAGGAACATGAAGTAAAAAGAAAACTGTTTCCAAGGAGAGATGTGTAAAATTTAAATATAAACTGAATTCACTTGTGAAATTGGAAATTATTTAAATCTTAGATTTAATGAAAAATGGTCAAATAAAACATATAAAGGCAAAAAGCCACCAAACCTTTCACGAATGGCTATGGCCCAGGGCTCTGAGATTGAATTAGGAACACTTAGGAATTTTAATTGATGACTGGCTCTCTTTTTTTCTCCACCTCACATTCAGCAACAGGGGAATAAATAAGTCTTAAGAGTCAAGTCTTGTCTTTGTTTTGTGCCATTATAGAGACTTGTTGCTTCCACTTTTGTCAGTGCTGCAATAACAGTTTTATTTACACGTATGAATCTTTGCAATGCTTGGATATGCTGGTTTCAGTTTCCCTGTAGCATAAAGATTCATCACATACTGTATCTTAGTGGCCTTCTGTGTTAGATGACACTGTCTTATCCTTTCAATTCAGCCATGGATTCAGTTTTGTATTAAATTTAGTTTTAATTCAACTCAATTCAACACAATTAAATTTTTCTTTATATAGCGACAGCAATGCTTCTACTGAAGAAGTGCTTATATTAATGCTTATATTAAGTCCAGGTTTTATTGTAAGTGGAAATAAACATTACAATTTACAAAGTACAAATAAATTCTTATTTTGCCAGTCTCTCTTAATACAAAAAATGAATACAAATTCTAATAAAAATAGAAATAAAGAGAGAAAAATACAAAAGGAAGTGGAAGTAATAATAATAATAATAATAATAATGATAATGAAATTCATTAAAAGACCTGAGCTTGAAAGACCTGAGCCTGATTACTTATGCCTGTGTGCAATTTTGCAAACAGATAATCAGCAAATAGCTGATAATAATAGTGCACTAACAATGAACAGTAGTGATGTGGTGGGATAGGAGCACTGCTCAGTGTCTTACTCATGGCCTGTGGGGAAAAGCTATTTGAGAGTCTTTTAGCTTCTACTCAAGGCCAGAAGTGTGAACAGACCATGTTAAGAGTGTTTATTGTCCTTAAACTACCCGTTTCTCTCTCTCTGGTCCGAAATACCAACTTATGTCATGTGTATAAGTGTAAGCATGTCTTCATTGCGTTTTATGCATTCATGTTAATGTTCAGTGAGTGTAAGCTGTTTCTTCATTGCCTCTGTATGTTATAATCAGGTTTAATTCATGCATCTTTTCACTGAGTTCTGAATTCAAACTATCTCACTTCTGATTCTTTCCAAAAATAATTTCACATGTAACAATTTGTGTATGTGTGTTTTCTATTTTTTGTTTACCTCTTTGTTGTGATCTGGTGGACATCTCTAAA